ACGACCCATTATCAAATCGAGTTTGAGGCGAGGTCGAAAAAAAACCCGACCTGGAAGAGATAGCCTTTTGGAAGTCAAGGCCAAGTGAAATTCATTGGTATCATGAGGGCTACTCATATCATTATGGGACAAGCTGAACTATCAGTCTTTAAATAATCTTACTTTAAAAAATTCCTTATATGAAAAATAAGGTTAGGTGAATTTCATTAGCATTTTAAGGTCAATTCATACCATCCTAGCTAAATTTTTATTTATGAAATAGTGATATATTCGAAACTTAGACACAAGATAAAAATTAGGCAAAAAGCATTGACTTATATCCTCGATAGTGAATAAAATTAAGCTAATACTTAGAAAATGTTTTGAAATTATTAATATTTGGAGAATATCAGTAGCTATCGAATAATAGCCTTAATCACTCTAGGTTGTTTAAATTGCTGAAGCATCGATAGTAAATTTTCATACAATGAGAACAGTATGTTTCCCAAAATAATTAATTTTCCCTTAGTCTTGCCTCTAAAAAGGTATTACAATCTAAACTGCACTGGACGGAAGTTTTTTCCCCACCTAGCATCAGCAACCTCCAGCAGGACTCGAACTCGGATAGTTTAGCGTATAATTTCTAAATGCTATGACTACGTCACACTTCCACGAGTTCCAGTTAGTCACAAGCCAGAAATGAATTACAAAGCTGGCTAGGCTTTATCAATATCATCTTTTTATAGCATTGCTGCTCATTCTATTTCGCAGTTGAATTTGCCCACAATGATATGAGTATACATGATGCTTCCATTGAAGTTTGTATAGCCTTACTTTCCCGAAAGGTCTTCTCATCCAAAGTGGATTGCAGATTCGACCTCGCCTGTCACATTGGCATCCCCAACATGACTCGAACTATTACAGGGCAGTGTGAAAACTCGACGCATTAACCACGAGTGCCCTTGGGTCACAGAGCAGAAGTGGATTTCAAGGAATAAGGTATTTTACGATATGTGGCTTAGTAGTTAACGTGTCGAAATACACGCCGAAGTGTCATGGTTCGAGTCCCGTCAGGAGGGCTGCTTAGGCTTGGGCAAGGTTTAAACTGAAGTCCACCTCGGATGAGAATACCTTTTGGGAAATTAGGGCTATGTGAAATTCAATAGAAACGTAAGGTCTATTTATATCATTGTGGGAAATTTTAACTGCCAGTCCCCTTACACCTTAAAATAAATAGGGTGAATACTCCTCATATATATTATTTACTGGTAGTCTCGAAAGCCTAGTTAAAAAATGAAAAGCATGTATTTTCCTTGACATTCGACAATTTTAATTATATTTGGAATTTAATAGTTCTTATCAAGAATACCCTAATAGTCTTGAGATATTAGCAAATTCGAAAACTTTTTTAAACACCAAATGCATGTTAATCACTAGTCAAGGTATAAATAAAACTCTTTCGACATTTATTCTTGTAAGTATGTTTCGAAATTATCAGTACATATTTACCAGCTGTGATGTTGTGAATAGGACTTAAGATGCCAGAATATAATATTAGTAATTCTCAATTAAGAGTATATTTACTATAGGTCACTTGAGGTTTGTTGTAGATCGATAATTAATTTCCGTCTACAATGAAACAAGTAGGACCTCAGATGCAATTAAATTTCAGATACGAAGAGAAACTGGGTTTCGATGAATTCCCTGAGACAACATCGTTGGGGGGGGATTTCAATTCGTATTAAAGTGCATGAAGAAGAGATTCGTTGGTTGATCTCATCAGAAGAGGAAGGATGAATCTCGTTGTACTGTAGCCGTTTGGCCTTTATACGACGTTCAGGTTGACGCAGTCCACGAGACCTCCTCCCTCATTTCGGGTGAAAACGGGCTGAGCTTTCGTCCATCATTCGATCGACATCATCCGCGCTTGGTATCATTCCTGTAAAAGTCTCACGTCCTCTGCCGGTGAGATCGACAAACAAATCTCTTCTTCATTCATTTTCATATGAAATGAAAGTCCCCCCAACAAATTGAATTTTACTTAGCTTTGCTATCCATAGCCCAGCCTCTTGGGAGGCATCATGAGGCCTACTCATCTCATTGTAGGAAAAACTATACTATCAGCCCTTAAATCACCTTGTGCAACCTTGAATGAGTATAAATCTTTTACAAAATGTTGCCGACATTCCCAGATGGATCGGTATGCCTCACCCTGTCATCTTCCGAAAGGATCACAGTCATCGGTACCAAAACCGTGCCATAGCGAAGTCCGGTGTCAGCCAGACACTGCTTGGCCCGTTCGCCGAGCACGGTGATCAGATCGTGTGAAGGCTCTGGCAACAGAGCCATCGGGTCAACGCGAACCTCGCTTCGTCTGGCAAAAGCGCGCAGCATCGCCTGCCTACCAGCTGGTGTCTGAGCCACAATCCCAGCCACTCCTCGGGGAAAGCCTTGTCCTGTACCGCCTCTGGCCAGGCCGGGGGTCATTTGGTCCGTGTGAATTGGGCCCAACGGGCCGGATCGACTGAGAGGTCCTGCGCCCGATTTCGTGACGGTCACACTTGCCAGCTCGACGACTACGTTGGAGAGAGGCGCGTTGCCAGGATGCCCCAGAGCGTAGCCAGCTGTACTGCTGAAGGCCATGGAGCCGGCAGGATGTGGTTGCCCCAATGGTACAGGCAAGCCAGGCCCACCCGACTCGACGAGCATATTGCTTCCATCCCTGGACCGCAGATGGGCGAGTTCATGTGTCACCAAAGAAGTATGCGTCCAACTGGTCCTCCGAGTCAGGGGCGGATGGATTGCGGCGCCGCTGCTGCTTGACAATGTGCGGATTCTACTCCGTGGACCGGTGCTAGTCCGATTCGCCAGTGCAGCTGAGCTACAGCTGATCCGTCGTCCACCTCGGCCGGTTGGCATGGCAACTACACTGCCCCTGGTCGTCATACTAGACCTGCCGGTCGAGCTCACAGACACCATGGTCGGGCAGATTAGACGAACTGGCGATTGGCGAGGGGGAGGCAACGGTCGACTGAGGGCGCAGATCACCATCATGTGGAAGTAGACGCTGGCGAGTGTAATGAAACCGATGCGCCAGTTGGTGCCAGTAATTGAGATCACAGTGACAAGCGGCATCAGAGTAGTGCCAATCCCGATACCGGAGCTGATGCAGGCCAGGGAAAAGTTACGGTAGACATCGAAGTACTCGGCCACATTGCCGATGGTGACAATGAAGGAAAGACCCATTCCGAGGCCTGCATACCAATACGTGTGTGCGCATGTAGACGGAGGGATTTGACAGGCAAACAATAGCATATGTCTAATTATAGTGTTGGTTCGAAATTGTGTTCGCAACTTGGTT